CTGACCTCTTCTCCCGCTGATTGGCCGATTGGATGATGACAGGCTTCCTCACCAGTCACTCCTGACTGATGAGGAAGCCTGTCAATCATCCAATCGGCCAATCAGCGGGAGAAGAGGTCAGAATGGAGCAGATGACTGAGGACTTGGAGGAGGAGTTCGCGGCCATCTTGTTTAATTGAAGACGATATGGAGGTCCTGTGTGCGGCGGTTTCGGGTCCTTGAAGATGGCGACGCGGCACAGGTACTCGTTTTTTGTATCTGAGTATTTGCACGAGTACAAGTACTCATGCAAATACTCGGTATCGCCGCCGATACCGATGCTTGTATCGGTTTCGGAGCATCCCTAATATACAGGTGAAACTCGAATAATTAGAATAGGGTGCACAAGTAATTGCAGTAAGTGCTGCAAAAGGGGCCCAAACCAAGTACTGAGTACATATGCATGCTTGTACTTTTCAGAGGTCCGATATTGTTCTATGTACAATCCTTGTTTTATTGATTGCATGTAATAATCTACTTTTTTGAGGTTGTGGATTTGGGGTTCTTGGGGTTTTCATGAGCTGTAAGCCATAATCATCACAATTATGACAAATCACGGCTTGAATTATCTTGCTTTGCATGTAATGAGTCTATCTCATATATTAGTTTCACCTTTTAAGTTGCGTTAGTGAAATAAATGAACTTTGCACGATATTCTAATTATTCGAGTTTCACCTGTAATAATATGATAATCACACAAAACATTAGGAGAATATAAATGTACCTGTTACTAAACTGTTGCTGAACCCTCCTCCCCTCCACCACCCCTCTTTACCTTAGTTCCAGAGTGATGGCATGCTCCTGTGTTTACATCCTCAGTACTGAAATACTATTCAGTTCTGCCCACAACCTAAATGAGGCCATATACTGTACAAGGATTTCTAGTCTTGTAGAGCTAGAACTATGAGGTGAGTGGAAATCACTCATCTCATAGAACGCCGGTATCTGTTTGCTCACCTCCCGATCTGCTGAGCCGACCTGTGACAGTCTCATTGTCACAGGTCGGCTAGAACTATGAGGTGAGTGGAAATCACTCATCTCATAGTTCTCCTTTAAGTCAGCTCACATTTCACATCAGCTAAAATGTGCTCTGGGTTTTAGCGAGAATGACATATCCACCACTCGTGAAGAAGGCATCAGCTTCAATACAGTAATAGAGAAGAGCAGACCTGGTATCATATCATCAGGTGGCCAGCTGTCTGAACCAGGAAGAGACAGCTGGCTCCCGATGTCGGAAAGGAAGATAGCGGATTGGTGGATCACAGCAGCACAACAATGGATTCTCTGGTCGTCTGAGTATGCTTTTTGATGACAATCCAGCAGACAACTTAAGAGAGGAAAAAAGTAGTGGATGAGTGAAGTTCCTTTTTAAAACAGAACTATGGCCCAACCTTTTTTTGCCATAGTTCTCTTTAGGGTCACAGGAGGACATATAGTAATGTCCTCCTGTGACCCAAAACTCCGCATATAGCGAGTTACAAG